TAAGTAATCAAAAGCAAAAATCATCGTTAAGAATCAATAAAGCTATTTTATTAGCGATGACGATGATGCACTCCGAAGGGGCAGGATGTGGTCTCTTGTACATTGGGGGATCATCTCCTTAATATCCTATCCGTCATACCATGGCAACAAGTCCCAGCTCTGATGAACCTTCCTAGCTTAGTGTACTGTATTTTACGACTGAACCACCAATCGTAGCGATACCTAAGTACTGTCACACAAGTGTTACCACACCCACCGTAGTAAAATATACCTGCTAGGTAGAGCGATTCCATGATCTCGAAAAAAATATCAAACAAATGTTTGTATCTGCTTGGTTCTCATTTCGTAACGTTTTGACCAATCAAAAACGAAGAAAATCTTTCGGCCCCTACATAAAGGCTGTAGGCTTATTACCAAACTATCCCTCCGGACGACTCCAGGGGTAGTCAGAGACACAAAAAACCAATTCCTCAAAGTAGCATTACTAATGTTTGTAGAACCAAGCACCTCAACAAAGGGAAGATGATATCAAGAAGTTGAGTTAATTTAAGATCACTTTGATTGAAATATTTATCAACATGATCAACATTGAAACCCTGATATTGATTTCGTAAATAGTAAATACAAACATGTGATTTGAACAACAAACGTTCGTCGAAACCTATTTACATATATCTAAAGAGCTAATCCCAACGATTTCTATTTATTAATTCGGTTAAGGAGTCCTCTACCGTTTTATGAGAGTGAAGAACATTTCCAATGTTTGCGCGTCGCCTAACAGCATTCCTTGAGCCCTCCGTTCGTTTCAACTGAAAAAGAGGATCCATAGAAAAAACAAGATAGAAAGGAAAGCGGTCCATTTCTGGGCTCCGAGTTTACCAGTTAAATGACCACGACCAGAAGTATGAACTATTTCTCTTTTCCAGATTTATTTGAAAATATTTGCCAACGTCGCTAACAACAATAAATGACACACAACGTTAAATTTCGTGACAAAGTAACGATACCCCAGAACGAGCTGTCACTTTTCTTTGGATGGGTTGTTTTTTTACTCGACATACTGAGCATCCAGTTAAATATTCACCTTTCCTGGCATCCTCTCTGCCTCCAATCTTGCTTGTTCCTTGGAGCGAATCTCATTGAGCCCAGTAACGTTTTTCATTGCGAAATAGTCAGCTTCCACTTCCTAGGAGAAATTTCTTCTGGAAACATTCCAAATCAAGAAGAACGTAGAATAGGCTCTTTTAACGTCCTAAGAAGGCAATGTTAAGAAAATGTTTGGTGCAGTGACTGACACGTTGATTGCGGCTGTGCATATTTAGATTGAGCGTAGCACCCAACCAAAGTTGTGGCAAGAGTCTTCTTGTAATGCCACAATCCTACCAGCAGAAAAGATGTCAAAGACACAACTTTGGGTCGTTAATGAATTATTGAGTTGCACTCCACAAAACTACATTTCGGCAATGGAAAAGAGGTTTTACAGTGTTTTATTGATGGGGCCAAAGAAATGCAGCGAGCTTGTGCTTTTGACGCATATATGACAACGCAGTCTTATTTTCATCCGAAATACATCGATTTTGCCAACGCTGACAACGCATGAATTTCAATCTTATCTGTAACGAGATCCTGAAACGACCCACGCATCCCTCCGCAAACTTCTTACATATAAAGGCACTCTAACCATTTGATAATATATCCCAGTCGGTTAGTCCTTTGGTAATGTTATAATTAAAGACCCGTTCTTAAAATTGTTGAACTTTAATGCACCTCAAACATATCTCTCATTCTAAACAGTTCGTTCAAATAATAAATCATTCTTTCCTCTAAAAACAAGCTGGTACACGCGGCTGTAATTAAGAGTTTTCATGCTATTAATTTCCTTAGCTTTGAATAATTTCTATGGTTGGAGCTCAGCTCTCGCAACTCTGCGGTGTGGATATTCAGTCTCAGTTCAATACGCCAAGATGTTATTATATTCTTATCAGTGTTAACAATCTTGTAGCGACTTTAAAATCCTCAGCAGCTTAGAGCAATTACGACAAGAATCAATAAAGACACGAAATGTTCTTTTGAAATTTTATTCATCATGCTGACAACTTTACATCAACTCCCAGTACTGCAGAGCGGAAAAGGCAAAAAATCAACAAATTAAGTCAAATCCCTTTGAAAGCTATCAGATCTGTGATCAGCATGTCAAAAATTGTGCATGAATTTCTGTCACCTTAGAGACAGAGCGAAAAATCGACAAATTGTTAGAACTTATCGTTAGCATGGTGACAACTAATGCGCAAAAAATCCTAGCAGCTTAGAGCCAAAAGTGGAGAAATCAATGAAATCATTCTTTCTTACAAGATTGTTGCATAAACTTCCATGATTTTATTACAGTTATATATCACACTTTTCTTTATGGAAACTGAAAACCCCTTTCCTGCTCTACAAAACTTAGGGTGTTTTAATGTTTGTTTTTTTTCAGTAGGAAGCATGAGGCTATCATCGCACCACATCTGCACCATCAAGATTGGAAATGAAGTATACCATTATTCATGTGGCAATAATGTTTGAAATTTTTTTTCAAAAAAATACTTCCTGCCCACTTTTTGCGGCGCTTTCTGCCTCAGCAAGTTTAGGTGAGAATCCTCTTCTAATAGTCCGAAGAAACGATGAAGGGAGGGGGAGTGCGAAAAATTAGCAAACATCTTTCGACTGTATCGTACTCGATAAGTATAACAAGCAAATTTCAAGTTTGTAAACAACAGAGATCATATGTTTTGCAAATCAAAAACTTTACCACTACTGATTCATTTACCCTGAAACGCTACAAGTCAAATATGCATGTGATCGAATCGAGAGAGTCTAATAGTGGCGGGCGAAATGATAGTCACCACACACCTCTGAGCGATAAATTTAAACTTCCTCCTTACTCAATGTCTCTTACCGATGTGATGTATGGCCTGCACAAAAACTTCATCAAATTCCACTCTCTATCAAATCGCTTACGCAACACGGCCACTTGAGCAGACGACACTGGATAGTCTGGTCGTCCGGTTCTAAATATTTGAGAAAAAAATGAAACAGGAAGTAGTCAAGTGCTTTCAAGCTTACGCTTTCTTCTTGGGCAGTGGCGGTCCGCCGTAGCCGATCTCCCAGACCCGTCGATTCCAATGCGGGAGATTTAAGTTCCCCCGCAAAGCACGCGTAAGGAACATTCGAGTTAACCAAAAAGAATATGCCTGCATTCCATCATGAGAGGATGAAAGTAAAATGTTATGATAAAATGAGTGTACAATACACCGCACATCAGAGTAGATACATTTCAATGGAATAATTTATCACCATAAAATCGTATGGATGTCCCACAATCAACACAATACGTTTTTCCCATGTTAGCGGTAAACAGCTCCTCTTATGATTCCTACGAATAAAGTTGCATTAGAAGCACACTCCCCAATTACCAATAACAAGCTACCAATGGAATAGATTGATATACAATAGAAAACGTAACCAAAAATGATAACAATGACATTCTACAAAATGAAGATAATAGCGTATGCTCACTGAAAATGATAGTCATAGATAGGAGATTTAGTGATATCAACTGAATCGAATGTGAGACAAAATGCAAAGAGTTGGAGCGATTTTTAATCAAACTTTTTCTAGCTTAACCAGATAGTGTGTGAAATATAAATATAACAGAAGAGTAAAACAAATTGAAAAAGAAGGAAATTTCGACCAGTATGTCACTGCCAGCAAATGATTTGATTCCATACTCGAACGTTTTGGTTTTCGCACGAGAACATATACTATAGCCACTGAATTGTTCCCAAAAATTCATTATCATCAAATGTGTTCAAAGCATTTTAACTCGTGCTAATAGAGGAAAATCTTTACCTCTACACTTTCCTGATATAGCGCAAGAAAAGTTCTAAGCATTGGCACTTGTATAAACCAATTTGAAATGGCTGTACATCTTCGTTCAACTCAGGTTCAGAAAATTTTCATGTGATGTTTGGAAGGCAGTTGTACAGCAACAGAATTTTGACGGATTACAGGGAGATTAACGAAAAGGGCATGAGGTGGTGAACTTCCAATTTGGATCGAAACTGCGAATTTCAATGGGTCTTAAAAATT